TGTCAAACTCCACTGCTGAAATTAACGAGGAAAAGTTCATTAGCTTTGATCCCTCTCAGATCTGCAGTGGATAAATTATTTGTCATTGACAGATCAGCCAAGTATTTATAATCCGTCGAAAATGCTACAGGGCTGATGAAATGGAAGGTGAATGGCTTTTACAAAGACTAATGTGAGCTTAACTGTTGGCATTTACCCGATATCAATGAATCCTCATTGAAGTAAAAGGTTATGCAGGTTGACAATAGAAAATTGTAAATGTTGAAAAACTTAGTTTTTAAGCTTTAATTAAGTGGCTAATATTCACAGCTAAAAGCTGTTGATTAAGTTTATTTAATTTGATTAATAGTATATTAAGCACGTCATCCTTTTGCAAGACAAAAATGCCCCTGACGCATAGCTCAAGCTATACCTGATAGCACACGTACATCACAGAGATGTCTATTTGACGTGTGTTTACATCTGGAAGACGTATTTTTTAGAGTGTTTGCTCATCTGCAATACGAGGACGTTTGATATCCTGTCAGATGTCAAATAGACGTTTAGAAGATGTCTTTAAGATGTAATGATGTAGAATGTATGTTAAACTGACATCTTTAAGATGTCTATTAGGCTTTCCAGATATTTAACAGACATCTCCCAGATACCACGAGTCTATTTGATGTGATTCCAGATGTAAAAGACGTTTTTTTAAGAGTGTTTGCTCATCTGCAATACGTCTATAAAACGTTTCCTGTCAGATGTCAAATAGACGTTCAGAAGATGTCAGTTTAACATGTATTCTAAAACATTACATCTTAAAGACATCTTCTAAACGTCTATTTGACATCCTAGACGTATTGCAGATGAGCAAACACTCTTAAAAATACGTCTTCCAGATGTGAAAATCACATCAAATAGACTTGTGCTATCTGGATAGCTATATATCTTATATTTTAGCATTATAGAAACCACTATTCAATTCCGTTTCATAGTAAATTCAAATACTCAGTGTTTGAAAATGATGTCTGGTGTATTGGACACTTCATACACTGCATGTCGCAGCTTTATAATAGGTCATTTGGTACACAACTATGGTTTCACAGGTGTTCTGCAACTGCATTATCTTTTGCAATCCCTGAACCCACTATAGTTGATAACTGGTGTTTGGAGTGACCAAATTCAAGTCTTCAGCTTCTTGAGGTGAAACTGATCCTCTGCAATCTAATGTACATTAACAAGCCCATATTTCAGACCTAACAAAAGGCCACAGTTGCAGCGCAATCAATATGAAAATACTCCAAATAAATGAAAAAAGCTTGCAAAGGAGGTTCAGCTGGTGAAGATGAGTTTGAAGGAGGGGCACTGAAAGATCAAGCTTCACTCGTAGATTACAACATTTGATGGATACTCCAAAAACATGGCGGTGATCTTTATTGATCGTCTTGTTTCTAATCAGGGAGTGTAATTATTGACTCCTGTGAGGCTGTACGGGGAATTTTATAAATGCTGTTTTTAAAATTCAGGTTTGCACATCATGATTTAGGGTCAAATTGGACCAGTTTGGCTATTTTGGATTTTGAGATGACTCTTATCCTAAAGTTAAATCAAACAGGACTGTAAAGGTTGAGAATTACATTGCTTCCGCATCCAGACTATGGACCAGAGGTGTTTTACCCCAGCTTTAAATATTAAATGATTTAGTTTCACGAGATGAAAGCCTGTCGTCTGTTTAACAAACCTTTCCCAGGTATGGTGACTGCCTGAAGGTTCAAGATACAGCGGAAGAGAGAGAGAGTTTACTCGACCAAAACATGTTCTCCAGGCGTTCCCAAAATCGACATCTGCACTGCTTGTTTTTATATATTAAACATACGGGCATAACTATATTTAAACCTGCCGGTGAGGGGCAAATTTATCAGCACGTCCATGGAGTTGTTGATGGGTCGAAGGGGCCGCTTGATTAGGCGTAATGCTCTGGGAAGAGATCTGCCAGCGTGTAGGAGACAGAATAATTGTTTCGAATAGGGATTCTCAGCACTCCTCTGAGCTTGTCAGCTGGTGTTTGAAGTGTGCTCTGACATTGGGAAAAACTCAAGGGCAGGGGTTGAGCAGGAAACAGCCTCTCAAATGAGAAAGGAAGCGAATTGAAGAGGAAAAACAAAGACAAAGGTGACTTCTCACAACTTGTAAGTGCCATTTGTGTAATAAGTTGCTTGAGTGTGTTTGTATACGTGTTGAGAGAGTTGCTTCTGAACTTTTTTTTTTTTTTTTTATTAAATATGAGATAAATTCCCCTCAGAGACCTCAGAGGGACCCAGCAAAAAGACCTTGAGTTTTCCTTGACTTTGAGAGTCACCCAACATGAAACAAGATGGAGGATAGAAGGATACCTCACTTGGTCTAAACTCAGGTGGGTCTCCCTTCATCTGAATGTAAAGAAAGAAACAAGTGTACTTTCAGGAACTTTGAACATGATATGAAACGCCACACAAGGCTAGCAAACGTCCCTTCTGGGGTGGGTTTGTGTGCAGTTGATTGTCTTGTGTCCACAAAAGCATGCTGTGGCCAAGAACTTGCCCTTCAGTTTGAAGTTGATGTATTTGTAGGCTCTTTTTAAAGTTTCTTTTAGTAGAACTTCTCTACTAGGTACAAGGCTGTAAAGTATTGTGGAAATTTATGCTATGTCAAAATTACCATAATAATGTGATGACTATTCATGTCCTCAGACCAGGCCTGAATGGCCATTGGGGGAATCGGGAGAGTTCACGATGGGCCGCTCATAAATTTTGCCGAATAATGCTAGCTATCAAATTGTGCTACTATATTTGCAGCTCTTTGTAGTAGTTATAGCCTAAATATTATTATATGGCATATATTACCAATGCATTCTCATCCCAAGTGTCATATACTGACACTTTTGCCAATGCGTATACATCCAAAGCACATGGCACCCTTTAGCATCAATATAACACGCTTCGGTTATGCTAGGTTTAGGTCTGGGGTAGGGTTAGAGACCACTAGGAGGCGCCTTCTGGTCCGTTTATATCTGCGTCTCATATTGACGCTAAAGGGTGCCATGTGCGTTGGATGTAGGACGGGATGAGAACGGGCTGATATTACGCATACAGTAAGTTGAGCCACCACGTGACTTAATTACCGGATTTTGTTTTTAATTATCCGTCCATGTTTTTAAAAACTCTGTAAATTATACCATTTTTGAGAGGCCTCACGTAGGTATTTTATTATTGGTCATTATATAAAGTTGTGCTTTGATTAAAGTATGTATTTATAGTATAATACAAATGTCAGACCTTTTCTCTGATCTAACTTGATCTTCTTAGCCACACTTTTGCAATTAACCAACCAACTGGTTCCAAAGTAATTGGTGGTTGGAAGAGGTCAGAAACTACTGCCGTCGCACACTGTATAACAACTTTATAAAATCTAGAAATGTTGATAAAACAACAAAAATATTTTTTTTTAAAAATTAAAAACGATAGACTATTTAAATAAATAAATGCTTTTCTGTTAGATTAAAGGTGTATCCAGGACTCTTTGACATTCACTTTGAAATAATTTCTAAATATCCATCATTTGATGTGCAAACAAATGAATAATTGTGTTTTCTTAGGGGAGGTTTGTATATACTGTCGTTTTGGGCCTCGCACAACACATGCTTGACACCGAAAGTGTGTGCACTCCAACCTGGAACAAGGGGATAAATTATAGCAAACAACAAAAAGTTGCATGAAGTTTCCCTGGGTGTCCTTGTGACAGGCAGTGCATGGCATTAAATGGCACAGTACGAAAAAGAGGACAACCCACTAGACAACTAGACGAGAAAGGAAACAGTCATGAAGAAAACATGAGACTTGTATTCTCTTCCCCGACACATATTAAAACAGAGCGAGGCTGGAAACGATTAAACAAAATCTACTGTCGGGGGAAAATGTATAAAAAACTTCTTTTTTTTCTATCAGTCAAAACTGTGACACAATTGTGACAGTCTCCTTTGAAGTTAGCGATGGAAGCCGACGAGGGACCTTGCAAGTGGGTAAATAAAAGATGGAGCATTTCTCCCCCTCTTTCCTTCGCTGGTTAATAGGGCAGCCCCCGCTGATCAAAAGCACATTAGCTTTGATTAATCAATCAATGCCCTGGCGGCCCACTCCTTCCTGTCAATGACTGGGGCCGCCAACTAGACCCCTCCTTACTGCACGCTAACATCCGGCTGCCGTTCTCACGCTGCGATGCCAGCCGAGATCCTCAACAATCGATCTTTAGTCTCTCTTACTGCTTTAATTTGTGAACCCTTTCCTGCTAACGACTCTGTTTGAGGTGTATTCATTTTACCACAGCAGACTTCATCTTGTCTGGGCTTTCTCGTTTGAAGTTATTTCAAGTTGTATTGCTGCCACGGAGGTGAAGTTTAGTTCCAACAGCAAGAAAAACCTTACAGAATATTTTGGGTGAAACTAACTTTTGCAGTTTATGGAAATGTTCCCTTTATTTTACAACAGTTGAGGTCCGACAATGAGTATATACTGTATATTATATGCGCTGGAAGTGATCGCTTGCGTGTGTAGTTTTACCTTTCACTAAACATATTTAGATATACCGAAATCGTCTTCCTGTATATCTAAATATGTTTAGATCTTCACAGTGAAAGGTAAAACTTCTGAAATCTCTGTGTAAACAATGAATGACGTACACACGCAAGCGATCACTTCCGGCGCATGCGCAGACCGAAGCGCCCGTGCCTTCAGATCACTTGGACATGGCTGCGGTTACACGAGGTAAAAACGATATAAATACTTTTTTTTTTTTCTCACACAAACCGCTCGTTTCGTGTCTTAGGCCATCAATGTGTACTTACATTTACGAGTCATTAAATCATGTTTAATTTTGACTTCTCTGTGCATACTCTTTGAGGTGACCGAGGGGGGACCCCCTATACCTGCATTATATGACTGATAGACAACAACGGTTTGACCGAAAAATATCAAAATTGAAAATACTGTGGAAACAAAGACACCTACATCTTGGATGCACTTGAGGTAAGCTAAAACATATCAAAATTAATTTCAAAGTGAACTATCCCTTTAACTCAGTCTACTCAAATCGGAATAAAAACCGTGTTGTTGGTTCTTTGGTTTCGTGTGTTACTTTTTTAGTTTGCAGAACAATAAATATTGTGTCTAAAATATAAGTAATACAAAACAAACTAAAGTTTTGTATAAAAATAATATCTCAATTGCTATTGTGCGGAATATCAGCATGGATACCCGGCCTGGGGCTGTTGAACTTTAATGCTAATGTACTTTAAGGGAATATCCACTCAAATGTCTGAAAAAAAGAAAAAAAGCTAGTTTACTCAATGGCCAACCTTACAGGTCTTTAATCAGTTCCACAACACCTTACTGGTCACTGTTGGGGAAAGTTACTTTCATAAAAAATGTGTTACAATATTGTGTTAATCCCTAGTTCCGCATGGTTACTTGAAAGCAATGCGTTACATTACTTTAGCGTTACTTTTTCTACTTGTTTGTTTTAAAATAACAAAAACCAAAAGTTCTGTTTTTGGCAAATTTAAAGGCCCCTTCACGCCAAAAGAGAAATAAAGAAGCCTCAGTCTGAAGGAATTGCAAATTAGTGAATAAATGGAAAAACAAAGTAACTTTTGTTACTTGTTTGAAAAAGTAACTCCGATATTTTGTTGTACTGTATATTGAAAAAGCGTTACTTTACTAGTTAGCCTACTTGAAGACAAGTATTCTGATTATGTAACTCATGTTACTTGTAATGCCTTACGCCCAACACTGTTACTTGTTTCCATTCCGATGGTCTGCTATGCTCCGCAAATGCGAATGGAATTTCATATGACAGGGAAAGTAAACTTTCTTTCCAGAGTTGTGTGTGTAGGGGGGGCTCCCCGTGGGGGACGGAGCGCTGAAGAAGCCCTGTTCCAATTCTGTCATTGTCAAAGTTTGACATAATAAGCGATTGTTCATGCGCCTTTGTTGAGTGATAACAACACAAGAGCAGGGTCCCAATTCCTCACTGTTAATTTTTTGTTGTTTAAAGGAAAAAACACAAGATGTCTATTCCTTTAAGGGATGCTTGGCAGTGCTTATGCTAAGTAATATAATAAACCTGTCGTGATGTCTGTTTGAACACCTTTTATCTTTCCAAATCCACAGGAGGGCTCTACCTTTGCCACGTCGAAGAAAAGCGGCATCTCTGAAATAATTTAAGTCGCCCTTTTTTGAAAGCCCAGACAAGTTAAGAGAATTCACATCTAAGATCAAAGCCGTGCGGTTGCAGTGCCACTGAAGTAAGTGTTGGCTCTCTAGCTTTCTATGTTGCGATCCAGTGTAGTTTTTTTGTGGTTAAAAGGCTGTGTTCGCTTTTCCTAGCACTGACTAGAAAGTTGAGCATGTTTACATCCAGGTGTGTGTGAACAGCTAATGAAGTGTCAAGATAGGCTATATATGATGTCCACCAATGTGTTATGTACCAGCCAAATGATTGCTTTATCTCTAACACCAACCTTAATGTGAATGTCAATACTTCAGCGGACTTTAGATAGATTAAATGGTTAGTGCGCTTAAAAAAGAAGTTCTGTCATCATTTACTCACTCATCTTGTTCCAAAGCTGTATGTTCTATTGTTTTTCATGAAACACAAAATGAGAAATATTAAATTTTCTGTTTTCATGTTAGACATTTTATCTGTGAAGTGTGGACGTACTTGTACCCATAATAATAGAAAAGGTTATACTGAGATAATTAGAAAATAAGAAATAGTCACAATTCGAGAAATAAATTCAATTGTGAAAAATAAAGTCGCATATTGCTTTTTTTTTAAACTCGATTTTCAATAGTCAAGTTCCAACTTGGACTAAAAAAATCCCAGAATAAAAGTAGTCTGTATGACTACTTCATGTGCTATATTTCAAGTTTTTAATTTACTTTTATTCATTTAGCAGATGCATTTATCCAAAGCCACTTGTAGAATCATGTGTATGACACAATGTAAGTAATATACCATACAAAATTATTGTAAGCATCTACAAACATCAAAAATATTGCCCTTTTTTAATTTTATTATTTTTTTTTTTACTATTTTTGCATAAAAAAATCAATTAGTATGTGCTATACTATTCCAGTTAAGTGATTTTTTTTTTTTAATGCATAAAATAAAAATATTTGCAGATAAAACTAAGATTGGTGCAAGTCACCAGTTTATCCGTCTGCGTATCCAGTACCTTCGTCCATATTTTCAAAAGGTTTCTGCCGGTTAAATCAAACGCACTGGCGCTTATCTGTGATTGGTCTGCGCATTAGGTCCAACCCCCTATGGGCATGTTTGAAAGGGTGGGATCTAGTGCTTGTAGTCTTTACAGAAATGTTACACTTCCTCCTACAATACAATGACGTAAAATGACAATTTGTGCGTCATAGTAGGAAGTGAAAAAGGTCAATAGCAGATTTCTCTCCTCTCAGGGGAAAATGAGAGACTGTTGCACGACCATTCAATAGTATAACTGGGTTTCAATGGAAAGCTTCATGCAAATGGGTGGAGTGTCCCTTTAAGGAGATTCACCTCTTCCACATATAAAGTTGTCCGAGTGCAGAGAAAAGCGCTATATAAATGTAACAATCTATTATTATTATATGGTAAAAGCTACATAGTGACTCTACAACTTATTTTTGTGTTCCACAGAAATAATAACATCATATATCATATCATATAAAACACACTGATGTTTGTGTAAGATTCATCTGAACACCGTTATATGGTTGAAGAAAAGAAAGTTCTTTTGCTAGTTTCTTTATTCATCTCTCTTCATTCTTGACAGATAAATCTGCTGGGATTCTCTCTTTTTTTTCCTTACACAAGAACATCTCTAATTTCATCAGCTCTCCTGACTGACAAGCATCATTACGGATAAAATTATCTTGGTAATTATCCTGCCGAAAAGAGATTTATTTCCCTTTGTGAGGAGGAGATCCATGGGGCCACGCAGTGATCTGCAGCGTGGAGACGCTTCGTTAAAATAAGCATCCTAATGAGACGAGCCCTCCTGCAGAGCGCCGAGGCCCAAGCGTTACGCCTAGCAGGAGCCGGAGCTTTTGTTCAGATGTGCATTAAGTAAGCGTGAACACGGTACCGTCTGAGTTTGGAGGACCACTTATCGAGGAATTCACAGTACGTAATTATCTTAATTTGCACCCCGGAGCCATATCCGATATGACACCTTCCGCCCATGACTACTCTGACGTAACTCACTCGTAGGCCCAGCCACGAAAAAGGGGTCAAGCTATTGTTGGGAAGTGAGATGATTAACAGAGAGTTCATTGACTGAGATTGGAGATATTTAGTTTGCAAAACTTTGCCTGTAGAGATACAGTTTTGAAAATTCGACTATTAACCTGCTTGAACCAGACTTGTGTTAACCTGCAGTGGTTTGTTGAATTTAAAACCGTCGTGAACAGACGCTATATGAATTTTCCAATGATGGAATTCTTAGTAAATCCCCCATGGACGTTTACTTTTAGCTGAAGCATTTATCCAAGCATTTATTTAGCAGTTGAGAGGGGATTTGAACTCACAACCCGCTGCTAGTGCCACCCTCTTCCAAATGCATTGGACGTATTTTGACATGGCACAAAAGTACATGAGTGGGTTTGTGATGGTAAGTCTCCCTTTCACTGTTGTTTGTGTGTTTGATTTTCATAATAGATCTTTAGCAATTATACAGGTTGATTAATTTTGCCATTAAACTCGGAGTTTAGGTGAAGCTTATGGGGAAACAAGCTCTTTACGATAATGAGCACCAGTGTTTGACGTAATTAAGTGCACAACAAGTAGCCTCTTTTCCTAATGGCTCTGCTAGTTAAGGGTCATTGTCGATAGATATATTATTAAAGACTGAAAGAACTTAACAGCCTGCAGGAGTTTCAGACAACTTTCAAGTCACAAGCAGGCTTTTAACCAGAAGCTGCCATGCTGTATCTTTTGGTAACGTTGTTGTTTGCAGTTAGAGTACTGATGGACTAAGATAATCTTTAACATAAGCAAGGTAAGAAGTGCCCCATTATGCTATTTTAAAGGATCCTAATTTTGTTTTCAAGGTTTGCTATAATAAGCTTACATGCATACAAGATCAAAAAACGCTTTCATTTTCTCATGAATAAAAACGTTTCTGAAAAAGTCAGAAAACAGTCTTTCAAAACCCCTCCTTTCCAAAACTCTGCTCTGATTGGTCAGACGGCCCTGTCGTGATTGGTCGACCACTTACTGCACCCGCTGCAATGAAATGGCTATTACCATATCTGATTTTTAGCTCCAGAGGCTTCCTCGGCGCTTGATACTTAGTGATACAAACAAGATTTTTTCCATATTAATTCCAGTGCGTTGTCCTTAGACATTCCCTGTTTTATGTAACAGGAAGCGAGACTGGAATTGACTTGTTTCGCCAATTCAGAATCGATTCTTTCGTTTTGGAGACAATAACTTTATTTGTCGGTCACCTTGATTTTTAAAACTATACAGACATTTCACATTCACAAACAGCTATATTACACACATGAAAAGATAATGCTCGAAAAGTTATAATATAATAGGGTATAATAATAATACTTTATTTTAAGGTATCCTTGTTTCAATGTCATCACTAATTATTAATACATTTAAGTACTGAGTAATAATTAACAGCATATACTATACTACACTGTACACTGTAAAAAATATTGTTGGTTTAACTTAAAAAATGAAGTAACCTGGTTGCCTTAAAATTTTAAGTTCATTGAAATGAAAAAATTGAGTTAATACAATGAAGGAGATTGATTTAATCATCAGAAACTCAAAATATTATGTTACATGAACTACATAAATTATTTAAGTTGATTTGACAAAAGAAAAAAAATGTTGTGATTACAAATCATGAAAATATTTTTTACAGTGTATAGGGTTTGTATTAGGCTTGGTTTAGGGTTATTTGCATGTAATTATGCATAATTTACTGTCGTTACTAGAGTAAGTACATGCAACATGTAACAAGGACACTAAAATGAACCTTTTTCATAACTTTGTATCTGGTTACATGATTGTGTTTATAGTCATTTATTCAAGGTTTTATTTGGAAGCCCAAAATGATTAAATTATGTTTCTGAAATTATGAAATTAATTAAAAAACATATTTTTATGTAATTTTAATGTCCCTAATTATGACTTGGTAATAATTTGTATTTGTATCTCATGATTATGGTTTAATATAAACTTTTTAATCTCATACTGTAATTATGATTTATTGTCATAATTATTACTTTTTTCGGCTGCGTTTGCCGAGATCTGGTGGTTGGCATAGAAACGTTATCCTGAGACTCGCCAAAAACTATGGATATAACCAAGACTTGCACTCGTACTGTATGTGCATCCCAATTCACAGCAGACTTGTACACTATTCCATCCCATTTCCTAGTATAAATAGTGTGATTAATGTGTTATCACACTGAAAATTCCAAAAAGAAAAAGTGCACTTCAAACACCCGGATGATGCACTTTATTATCCAGAGAGACATGTTTTTGGAGACATAAAACTGCCAACCCTGTCAAAGCGGGTCACCTTCACATGCTGATTGCGTGATGCAAATTTATGGTGTAAACATGCATCCGAGCAAGTACATAGGCCTGCTCAGCGTTCTGCTCCTGAATGCCCAGGCACAGTGCATGTGACAGCGCAGGAAGAAATGTAGACGCCGCCTTGGGTCGATACAAAAAATGTATGTGCTTGGAGCCTAGGAGGCATTCAGTAATGAAATCAATAGCTGTGCTTGGCTCCTAGCATTAAGATCATTGGTCTGGCTGTTATTTAGTCATCGTTGTCCTACAACCCGGGTGCAAGTTGGCTACCAGTGAAAAATCAATAAAGTGACACCACAGTCGGCATCGCAATTACTGGTGAGACTGGTGAGAGATCAATTCATGTGTTGGCCATTAACAGGTCCTTTTGGGAAATCATACTGCATTATTTGTGTTCGGTTCTGTCTCGTACAAGCGCTCTCCTTCCCTGTCTCGCTCTAAAACGGTGAATTATACAAATCAACAAGAGAGTGTACAGCCAAAGACCTAGTGACCTTGTTTTGCTTTGCTTTGTGCAACCCTGACATCAGGGATCTCGCAATAGGCTATTATTAGGTTTTTAGCATTGTGTGCTATGACCTACATGCCATGTATGATGCATGCAATGCATTCATTCTGAATTCCTGTTATGTACACCACTCAATTCAATTGAAATTCATAAGTCTTGGCAAAAGTGTTGAAACACCAGGCTGCCGTGCAGCTTGCAGTGTTCAAAGTCGAATTTTGTATTAAATGTGAAACTACTTCCAAGTCTGAAGAAAAAGCAGTTAGCGTTCTTCAGGTGAGGTGCAAATCAAACACTAATGATATGTGTCTTACAGCATTACAATTCTGATGGTGAAGTTGTTGACACCTGACACAGACCACACTGTTAAATCTCTGACATCTTTGAATCCCTTGTCCCTGCACGTTGATTGACATCTCTCATGTGTTCCTCTGGCAAAGTAGCACAGTCCCACATTTCTCCCTGGAATGGTAAACACGAGGTAAAGCATATTAGTTGGAGAAGCCGGCAAATGCGACGTGTCAGTAGGAGAATATCTCATCAGTCCACATTCTTTATCAACTAGTTCTGCGCGCCGCACTTTCTCGTGGAGCTCATCCATATGTAAAGACCAGAATATGTTCCAGCAGCGATAAGGATGTTTCTTGCACCTGCAATGCCTTACAAAAACACCAGCACAATGGCGACATGACGTGCAGCTGTTTAGCGTGACAGTGGTGTAATTGTAAGGAGGGAGAAGACGTCTTGCTCTTCACTCAGCTTGAGACAAGACTAACTTCTCGCTTCGAGATCCTCTGCTGAGGAAGATGACGGGAGCGGAGAATGACTAGATCTCTTTAGTGCCTACAATTACATGGCATGATGCCTTATGTGTGCAGTCAACAGAATAAGGCCTAATGAAGTGGATACCTTAAACACATAGCCTACCTTCAAAATAGCAGTGGTTAAGTGCCAATGCACCATGTGGCGTTCTGCATGACTGAAAACACCTGAAAAAAAGGTCTTTGATATAGAAGTTGAAGAGAAACACATATATTTGTTAAGCTGACAAGCTTTTTATGGAAGCTTGTTTCCACCACTGAATGAAACAATTGGAAAGATAATTGCGACTTTTAATTTCGCAGTTATGACTTCTTTTCCCCTCAGAGTCGCGAGATATAAACTCGCAACTGCAAGAAAAGAGTCATAATTGTGAGATAAAAAGTCTCAATTCTCTTTAATTATCTATTCTATTTCATGCGAAAACATGTCATACTGCTTTTTTTTTTATCCCGAGCAACTTAAAAAAACAAAACACTGTCATGACAACTTGTAATAATTCGTACGAGATGGAAATCATGGTATCAACCGTTCAAACTTTTATGTTTTTTTTTTTTTTTTTTGCCAAATTATGTTTAAAATTTGGCTTAGACGTTGGGCGTTATGGTAAAGTCAAGGCCCTAATTTTTTTTTTACGAGTTTGTCATCTCATGAAAACTCTCATGAGACCGGGTTGGATCCTATAACCTATAACACTTTACATTAATTTAAGAAGTGTTTTGTGATATAAAGTGCTCAGTTACACAGTATTATGTTTGGATGTATGATAGATCATAATGAAAATGTACAGAACTTTTATGATTAGCCTATAGAAAACACTTCTTAGAAAACAGTAGATTCTAAGTCGAAATAAAACTTTTCAAGAAGATATGTTTAGGCCTACACCAAGACCAATCTAAGTGTATAAGTGGTCATAAAAGCCTACGTTTTGATTACATGGGAAATAACAGATCCTATTTTGTTCCAGTGACTATTCACACAAGTTTACTGCCTTGGTAAAATATTCCGAATAAACTCTGGAGTGAAATCAACATATTTTGCAACCCCTCACTGTTACATAACGTGACAAACAGGCTTAGGGAGTCACCATGAAAATGCAAGCATACTTGCCAACAGCAAAAAGAAAAGACAAAACACAAAAGAAATAGCAATTGTTGTGTTTGATTTTGCTGGAAGACTTTACTGTACAGAATCAGATCAAAATAATCTAGGATTAGTCATTGATCCACAAAGCTCCAAAGAATTAAGCTGTTAACTTGACAAGAAAATTACGCTACAAGGAATGCGGTAGCTGGCTCTGGTCCAAGTAGGCTGTCCAATGTGAAACTACTTGCACCACAACTGAGCAATTGATTCTGTGCGCTGTGACACACTTGTCATCCGCAAGAATCGTCAACCAGGTAAGCATGGAGCAACATTTCCCATCTTGCCCCATTTGTGTTTGATATTGCACTGCATTTGATTGGAGAGGCGCGTGACAAAATCCAAATAAACTATTTAAGGTCTTACATGCAAGCGAATGGACAGAAATCGAATACCCCCATTATTATACTAAACGAGGCGGCACAATATTTGAAACTCTGTTAGTTTCAGTGTAAACAGGTTGATTAAAACGGAGGCGACATTATTGTGTCGGATCGCTGGCAGCGTGAACTGCGCAACAGGGTGGATGGGGTGTAAAAAATAGATAGTGAGCGAAATATTATGGAAATGTAACTGTAGCATAGTGTTTGTAAAGTAAAGGCTTTGGTTTAATGTGCATCTACAATGCAATTATTTATTTGATAAGTAGCCTAGGTAGTATTTCCTCAAATGTCTATTCAATAACAATGACGTCCAATTCGTAAATGAATAATTTTTTGTGTGCGAGTCAGATCCTGTTAATGGACCAGTTGAACCGGACTTGCGAATAGAATCGAAATCTAACTGCAGCAATTTGATTGTAGCTATGACAGGCAGTTTTAAACATTCAAATAAAGTGGTTTGTAATAGGCCTAAACAGTATGTCATGCTTTAGTAATAGGCTATGCCAGTGCCCAGTGGTGTAGGCAGAAATTGTATTTTGGGTGGGCCAGTGAAAATGTGAGTGGACCTATAGTTTTTCATAGAAAAAAATTAGGCCTACTTCAATAATACTTTACCTTAGAGAGTAGAAAAATTGATTGACAAACTGCAAAAACAGTTACACCTTTATATTCGGCAAATCATCATGTTCAACCAACAGAGCTCAATAAAGGCTGGACAAACCACAATAACCTGTCAATTTTATTCAGGCTAGTCAGCAGTGCAAAGACAGTTCACCCGAAAATAAAGTAAGCTAAAATAATAATTTCGCAGTTAGATCGGCGGGTAAAGACAGGGGGAACACACACAGCAGTCAACAATGAATCAGGTAGTATATATTAATATATTTTCTTAAATATTTGAATAATAAAAATAAACTAAAAATGTAGTTTTATCAACCTTGCCTGGGTGGGCCAGTGCCGCCCTGGCCCAATATTGGCTACGCCCCTGGGCTATGCCCTAACGAGAGTTTAGCTCCAACCCTAATCAAACACACCTGAAGCTAAAGGTCTTCAGGATAAAGTTACAGGCAGAGCTGAATGGGGTTTTTTTTCAGGGTTGGAGCTAAACTCTGCAGGACAGTGGCCCTCCAGGATCAACGTTCCCCACCCCTGCCCTAAAGGAACCTCAGACTTGTTTTATAAACCAGTTATTTGAAAAGAATTGTTGAAAAGAACCGTTTCACAGACATATCTCACATCCATTGATCAAGAAATAACATGCTAGAAACCTTTATTAGCCTACACTGAAGAAAAGCATAAATATTGTACTACCTGAACAAAATAGGTCTATAATAAGATCTTTTTTTTTTTTTATGATATCTTAATGTCTGTCATTGCCTGGACTAGCTCTGTATCGTTGTCCTTTGAAAGAAAATTCGGCAACATGGCTGACCTGATAAACAGCGATGTGTTCCTGGCCTTCTCCACATATACTACTATTGTCATTCTCAAAATGATGCTCATGGCTCCTCTGACTGGATACTTCAGGATAACCAGAAAGGTGGAATTGGTTTTAAAAAGTCATTTTGATATAAATTGCAATAAAGAAATGTGACTATATTAATTCTGCATTATGTTATAATCAACTTGAACATTGGATCTAATGCAAGAGTGATTGTGTATAGGTTTTATAGTGTTGCTCCTCAGCAATAGACTATAATTAATGTGTTTCTGTTCATCACACAGGCCTTTCAAAACTTTGAGGACACTGCGATGATGAAAAAAGATTCAGAGGAGAGAAAGAAGATGCTCCAGACCAATCCTGATGTAGAACGTGTCCGAAGGTAATAGAAAAGGACGGACCTATCCTCATCTAACCTGTTAATGGCATATATTCTCAGTGATTTTTGCTTTTGAATCATAGATGCCATCAGAATGATCTGGAGAACATCATTCCCTTTGTGGTGATCGGTCTCCTGTATGCACTGACGGGGCCGGATCTCTCCACGGCTCTGTTGCACTTCCGAGTGTTTGTGGGTTCACGTTTCATCCACACTGTGTCTTACGTGATGTCTCTGCCCCAGCCTAGCAGAGCTATGTCCTGGACGGTGGGAATGATCACAACTTTCTCAATGGCCTACAGGGTTCTCACAACAGCACTCCATCTCTAAAGACACCGGTGCTTTGCAGAACGGGAGAGGCTTGTTTTATATATTTTATTGTCCTTGATTTATTTTCTGATACACTGTATGCAATTCATAATAAAAACTGTCAACAATTAAACTGTATTTTTGATGAATTTGCAGTTCCCAAAATACAGGTATGCCTGTCTATAAAGGTGCTAATGTCACTGCTAAAGTTCCATTTTTTGTTAACAGTCAACAAGTCATTGTCACAGTGACTCAGCATAGAGGGTTATCAATGTTGACAGTCTGTTTGGGAGGCATTCCAAGTGCTAAAACATGCTTTTCTTCAATACTTGTGAAACAAGTAGTCCCAGGCTAAAACGCTTTAGTGTTTGAGCTGTTTTATCTGAAAGCAGATTGCATCGGCACATATTAAATTTAAAATATGTCAGTGCCATTTTTTTGTCTCAAGATGCACACCAGTAATGTAAAAAACTTTTTATTTCCCTAAGGCACGTTTTATAAAAGCTACTTAAACTATAAGGCCCAAACCTGGCTTAATCTTAACCTTGTCTATGAAACCAGGCCGCAATATATATTAATATATAATTATATTTTTTTATGACTTGAATGATTAAAGTATGACTTGTGTTTGACTTGAAGGATTCTTTATTGAACATTTTGCAACATCTACGTCTTATTTGGTCTGTGCAAAGAACACTTTGAGAGACATCACAAAATCAGTATGATTACAGTTTGACGTGCCAAACGATGCAGTGAGCAACTTTTCGTAAGTTGTTCATATTTGTTTCTGTTTAAAATGAGCTAAAATCGAGAAAAAATAGTCTATAATGTGGCACAACTTACCCCAGCAGTGCGGCAAGATAATAACCTACAGGTGCATGTTGTCACAATTAAGAGCAATGTGTGTTCAGTAAGCTGTATTTTTTAAGTAAGCTATACATTTTAATAACCTTAAGTCATGTAGCTTACTTATAGAGTAAAAACAACCTCACCCAAGAGAAATATTAATAGAAATGAGATAACTAGCGTTTGCTTGGCTTTGCTACCGTCATTCTCCATTGTTTGAGCTACAGCAGCGTGCCTGTGGATGTCTCCAAATTGCGCAAAACAGACAGTTGCATAAATATAACAGTTCCTTGTCTGGATGTGCAAGTTATTTGCATGCGAGACTCCCACCCATCTGATTTGACGTTAGTTCTGGAAGAGCTGTGAAACTGTGTGGAGTCAAAAAAGGTAAGAAACGCCAGCTTAGACTTCATTTTAACCTATCGCTTTTATAGTTTTGTTTAGTCTTCTTGTCAGTAGGCTACTTATGTTTTTAAATTGCCTTTCCTTTGACATTCCTTCGGTGTCCTAGTTTGCTTACGTAAACAAACGACACATGCATGAAAATGCACCGTGTTACAATGTTAAACGTTTATAATATGAAAACCTTTCAATTCTGCTATAAGAACAGTCGAGAAATTGACATTTTGTTCTGTTCATGTAACTTAATTGCACTAAATTCAACTTAAAAGGACACAAACAACTCAATGTGCTGTTAAAGGAATATTTGCGTACAACTTTTTGGTAGTGTTTTTGTCCACATTCTGTGAGGAAAAACTCTAAATACTACACTTAAAGCTTGCTTTTATGATACGGACGAGCTGTTTTGGAACATGATAGTTAGTTTTTAACAATAAGCTGGTAGAAATTGGCCACATTTGTTAGTTTGGGGCGATTATATAATACAATTTCCATCAAAATAAATTCATGCTTTTGTGATCATTTTGCAAATGAGTATCAGGATTTCTGTTTGCTTTATGTTGACTTTATTTTTGATTTATTTTTCATATGTTTGTTTACTTTTTTCCCCCATTTGTAAATTTTAATAAAGATGGCCGAAGTTGTGCACATGATTGACAGCGAGGTCTTCCTGGCCTTCTCCACATATGCAACCATAGTCATCCTCAAAATGATGCTTATGAGCCTTGTGACTTCATACTATCGGTTGACGAAACAGGTACACTTCTTATAGTTCAATTTACAGCTTATACAAACCGTGTTATATTGTTCTCAATTTACAGTGTATACAATCCACGTTATATTTTCTTATGAAGTTTTCAAACACTTAATTTTAACAGATTTAATGACTCCTCTTTTAGGTTTTTGCAAACATGGAGGACACCACCTTGGTGAAGACCACAGAAGACCGGAAGAAACTGGTCAGGATTGATCCGGATGTGGAAAGAGTGCGAAGGTAAACTTATAAACCGTTTTATGACAAGATCAGTGGGTGAGCGATTAAGGTTCAACTTATGTTTTCTCTTTCTGATGCCTTTGTTCTTGAATCACAGATGCCATCAGAATGATCTGGAAAACATAGTTCCCTTTGTGGTGATCGGTCTTCTGTATTCACTCACTGGGCCGGATCTCTCCTCGGCTCTCTTGCACTTCCGGGTGTTTGTGGGGTCACGCTTCATCCACACAGTGACTTATGTTATGGCTCTGCCCCAGCCTAGCAGAGGTCTGTCCTTTGGTGTGGGGTTGCTCGCAACCATGTCTATGGCCTATAGGGTGCTCACCACCGTTTTTTTTCTTTAATGGATAACACTCACTTCATTTAAAATCATTTTGTTTTTGCAGTTTTGTGTGAAAGAACACACAAAATAATTCTTTTTTACAGAATGTTTAGTGCGCTTTCTATTGGTTTTCAGTACCACACCCCCTTTAATGCGCTTTATTGTGTAAATGCTTATAATATGCCTTTAAACTGCTGATAATCTTTGATAATTGACAATCTCCTGGCAAACATTCGAGGATGAGTCTGAAGCTTTGACATGGATTGCACATTGAACAGACATTTGTTTTTATTTTGTTACTTATTAATCACGGGTAGCAGACTTTGATTAACAGCTCTAGATTCTGTCAGATAATTAGGTCTTTGTTAGTTTGTAAAAGCACAGGAAAATATTCAATTAGCATTTTAAAGAAAGTTTGGCCAACAACTACAACAGCAAAAAAAGCTTATTGATGGATCAAATAATATTAAAAAAAATGTTTCTGACAAATGGTTGTGGTTAATCTTGTAAAGTTGTAAGTGTGCAAGAACCCAGTGCATGTGTTGTCCACTAGAGGGAGCTATTTGAAAGCCCAAGTAGTACTAATGTTTACATTCAAGTTTGTCTAATGCACACGGAGTACCTCTTTATTTGTTTCTAATTCACCCTTGACATACAAAACATTCATTCCTCTGCACTCTTTGTCTATTCTGCCTCAACCGATAAACTGAACTGTTTTATACTGCTACACATAGATGATGTACATTAGCAGATGATTGTTAAAAATAGCCCTGCTTAACATAACGACGAATGGTTTCTTATTATTCCTGCTTCACACATTACCTTGATATGTTTTAATTGGCTTGTAAACGTTCTAATTTTAATCTCATTCTAATCGTTGTTACTTAATTAGTCTAAGATAGGCTATTTAAACGTGTCTTTCAGTGTTTTGTCTTAAAGTGTTTCAGTCTTCATATGAGATTTCAACAAAGTTCCATTATTGAAGTCATAAAATCTAAGTTCACTTTATTACGATGGCATTTAGGTAAAACTAAGGATCTCAACCATGATCTCAACACAGCCATGACCTATCAAATCTTCTAAAAATTAACTTCGTAAGTAAAGCAAGAACATCTGAAATTCTGCGTAAGTGAATATATGCATTATATTTGTTCATTGCAGCAATTTATTTTTACACTGGTAAACAACTCTGGGATCTTAAAGTCAGTGTGAAATAGAAGTTGCAACAGTCTATCATATTGTGACATGGCAGGATTTTATTTATCAGTTATTGTTTGAATTATGAAAAGTGAGTGTTGTGTGAGTCATAACACAAGAAGAGCAATGACATTTTGATAAAAAATTACCCCCGAAAAGGTAAATGCATTAAAGAATCGTTCACATCGTTCACAGCAGAAATGTGCATTAAAAAGCAAAAAAAAAAAAAATGTTTTGATTTTAATCTACCCTTTGAAGAGATTTATACTAAGGACACAACTAGTTAAAGAGAACCTATTATGCCCCTTTTCAAACTTGATTTTGCTTTTGGCTTCAACTAGAACAGGTTTTCATGCTGGATTTGTCCAAAAACACATTTTTCACTTGTGTAATGTAACTTATGTTGTTGGTGCAGCACCTCTCTTCCCAGTCTGTCAGTAATGCTCTGTTTAGTTCCTGGCTGGATCAATGTGTTGTGATTGGTCAATCGCTTCGAGCGTGCTTTGCAAATGTCACTGCCCTTACCATAACACAGAGTTTCAACATACCGTACTAATAACGTAACCAGGTCTCGCCTTTTTTTTTGTTTGTTGTGTCTTCGGTGGGAATTGTTTAAATAAGGAATATCATGACGTGCACGTTCCCAGAAGAAAACCTAAGACTACAAACCGAGTTGATATGGAGAATAACTCTGTTTGGAGACTTTGTAACTTAGCAGACATTTTCCATGCTCAAATAGCAACATTACACACTAAAGAAAGTTGAAAATGCAAAAAAAAAAAATAATAATAATAATAGGATCCCTTTAAACCAACTTCTTAATTTGAGCATCCTTCAGCTGCTTCGTCCTTCTTTTAAACCAGCCCTCTCCTGGTGACACAGTAAATACTAGTACTTAGCCCCAAGGTCGCCACGGCTGGTCATGCATATGCCCTGTAAAGGCTTTTTCTCATTTGTTTTGGGCCTGTGCCCAGCTCCAGGCTGTGCAATATTTCAGTCAAGCCAAGCATTTTACAGGCCGGGCAGATGAAGAACAGCTAAACCTTGCTCTGTGATCAATAATGACTGATCCGCCCACAAGGGGCTCTGTCTCCGCTGGGGAAGAGCTGGGTCCGGCCTATCCAAGAAGATTTTTTTGGGTGGAAACTCAAGGCTCTTGGAGTCAACCTTGAAGTACATTCTGTAAACAGAGTCGAGACTGACACATGCCTGAATTAGCGCTAGTGGTCCCATTGATAGGCAGATGCTGTACTGTTGTGTTCCTCCCACACTGTTTCTATATTGCAACAGACATCATATATTTCTCAGATCTTCCCACTGCCTTATTGTAAGGCTCGTTAACTGTACGGATGCTTAATTAGCTTGCACTTCAAAGTCATGGCATGGGCCAGTATCAAGGTTTAGCAGAGATTTATATCACACAATGGCTCCATGGGTCCTGAAAAATTAATGAACGCTTAGCCGGGATCCGACTTATAGGCGACACGGCGCAATATAAATCAATTTGAGTTTGAGCCTTGCAATTCAGAAGCGACCGTATCTGCTGGACTAGGCGTTTTTAGAGTGTTTTTAGAGGTGCATCAGCGGTAATGCGGGCGAAATAGGTCAGGGGTGAGATGTGAATGCACGGTCTCGTGACCTTTCTTCAATGACGGCATGCTTTCTTTCTCATACGCGCACATGAACTAACGACTTGTGAGTTTATGTGAAGTAATTATGGGTGCAGAGATCAGCCATAATCACATTGAGACAGAAGCGAGCGCAGGTCAGGACCATATGTTCGACTCCTTTCTCAGTGTGAGAACAGACTTCAGTGGAATGTGAACATAATAAGGACTAACTAATGCCTTTCGCATTGCTGCTCTCTTCTCTGCCCTTCATCTCTACCGAAGCCCATTACTGAGCTCAGAGAATTGCACCAAGCTTGCCTCTTTTTTTTTTTTTTTCTTGTACACTTGTCATTGCCATTTATACACAGGAAGTCATATTATCTCATGTGGGGTAAAACTCACCATTGAAATGGCCACTTGAAGGGGCAAATAAATCTACCTTCAATGCTCAGTGAAGCAAATGCCCTGTGTTGACTCGATGATTTCAGCATATTTATCTCAGCGTACCGCCTAATAGATGGCCTGTAGGCTAAAAGTCATAAGAAAGAGGTGCTTCATCTAACATTTAAGCATAAGCATAATTTCGGTGCAAGTGCAAAAAAAAAAAATTCAGCGTGTAGCCTGTTTTTGCTGCATTAATGCACGTGTGACGTTTTTTTCAGGATAATCTTTTGCAATAGCATTATAAGAGCTAATATCTCACAGATTTTTAGAAAAATGTTGTCTGTCAGCCTTGATGCAAGCTCACATTTACTTTCTATTTAGTAAATTTGACTGAATCTGGATGATTTAAGTAATTTAGAGGTGTTTACATGACATCATTTTCAACTAAAAATGGCACTTTTTATGCGTTTTGGCTGTTCATTTGAGCCCATTCTCATCGCAAGGCGTCATATGTGATGCTTTTGCCAAAGCCTAAACATCCAACGCACAAGGCACCCTTAGTTTAGTGTCAAATGAGACGCAGATATATATGGGGCAGAAGGCGCCTCCTAGTGGTCTAACCCTAACCCTACCCCATACCTAAACCTACCCATAACCGAAGCGTCTCATTTGACGCTAAAGGTTCCATGTGCGTTGGATGTTTACGCTTTTGCAAAAGTGTCGGATATGACGCCATGGGATGAGAATGCGTTGTTCATTTACATGACAATGGCGATTTGGGGCCTGAAAACGCAAACATTTGAAAACGGGTTTCAAAGTGAATTTGTGAAAACGTTGACGTCATGCACATGCATGCATACATGTTCAGTCTATAGGCGTGTAGTGTTTCTGTACAAAGTGATATTGCCAACTACTGGCCTGGCATGCATAATACAATATTTTTTAGTTGCTTTCGTGGATCCATGTGAACGGGGATTGTTTTGTTTTGTCGCCTGTACACAAAACTTCTCAAAAATGCTACACTCTAAAAAATGCTGGGTTGTTTTAACACAATTTTGGGTCAAATATGGACAAACATTTTAAAATCCAACTGAATTCCTGAATTGGAATTAAGATACCAAATATGTTGCAAAAATAAGCAGAATTAATTTTAACATTATATTACTGTAATAAATGAAAGTTGTTCAAAACTGTTTGCTTTATAGGCCTTATATATATATGTGTGTGTTTAATTTATATTTCATAATTTTTCATTCATTAACTTATCAGGCTGAAAGACTTCATTTCCCAGAATGCATTGCTTTGAAGTATAATAAAGTAAATTCCTCGTCCTGTCATATTCCAATTCATATTTTATTTCAGCTGTGGGGTGTGGCCAATTTAATTAACTTCATTGTGAGCCAATTCATTCTAAATTCTAAAGTTATCCATATCTTGCTCAATAGCTCACTCCTTATAACCATTTTAAAATCTTTGAATGATAAATTAATGATTATTAAAGTGCTTATTGTGGTAAGCTAGAAATCACTTTTCAGCTGCTGGTTTAAAAACACCATGCAATTCTGCATTTGCAGTAACTTTGTTGCCTATGCACTGTTTATGCGTGCAGTGTGAACCAGGCCTTATAGAAGAAACGATTTAAACTCACACCTCGAATCCCATAATAACTGTCACTAAGGCAACGCCCTGACCCAATCTACTCCAAGCATTGGAAAGCATGACCTTTACACATGCGTTTCAGTTGGAGATTTTGAGTGTTGGAGCTAGGGGACTGTTAGACTTGGCTGGGGTCAGCAGATATCCTATGCTGATCTTAGTGATTGGATCGTAGGTGATTACCATAAGCAATTTAAATGATATTGATTTATCCTCTCGCCTGCTGTAATTGAACACCGCGACCAAGCCCCCGCACCCTTTTCACTCTCTCCTTTTCCTCTTTTCACTCTCGCATTAACGAAAATGCATTCAGCGGCCCGAGGAGCGCCCATAAAGAGGAAAGGATCCGGCCTTGAAGGGCCAATCAATTGGCAGTTTGCCACGGCAACAATGGAATTGTTCAATTAATATCCTATCTCTGGTTAATTTAGCTGCTTAAACCCCCCCCTCACATCATACACAGGGAATGTCGAGGTAGCAGTGGGACTTGCTCCAATTTGGATGCAAACGTCCTCCATGTTTCTCATCTGGACAAGAATAATAGAAGAAAATGTTGTTTCCTGAGAGCTTCCTGCCAGATAACCCCCCTAGTGTAATAACATTGGGAGTTAATCAACTTCTTTTAAATCAAATGCCTAATTTGAACGATAATTATAATTTGGCATTTAGATAACATTGACTAAGCACTTGATTGAGGCAACAGGACAAAAAACAGGCCTAATGGCAATTCTTCCCATGAAAGCACCGTCAAATAAGTTTCGGTATCTACAATATTCCGTCGCGCTCTTATGCAGAGCTATATTTGGCACTGGGATCAATTAATGAATGGAAAAACTCCACCTGGGAGACACGCTCTTGCGTTCTCCATTTTTCACCTACCTTTACAGTACCTCGAGAGAGAGAGAGAGAGTGCGCAAATTTCTTGTTTTAATATTTTAGCGCTCTGACTTAAGCTTCGGAGTTCTCGGCAGGTAGCGTACTAGATCATCCTGACATTTCAAAGTACTGAAACCTTTGGAATAAAGTGTTTTTTATTTCATTCTATTAACATAATTTATGTTTGTCAGAGAGCCCACCTCTGTGGAAGTCAAATAGGGAGGGGTCTTGCCATAATTCATCGTCACATGGCTCTCCGTGTGTGCACGTGTGTGTGTGTGAGACACATGATAGCGGCTGTGCGCGAGACTCGCAGACATTCGACTTCATTACTCGGGTCTGAAACATTGATGAGGCAGAGAATAGATTTAGCCGTCACCATGTGGAGTCTGTTATCGTGAAAAGATTAAGCACTTTTTTCTCACTCAGA